TATATAAAGACTTGATAAACAGAAGTGTGTGGGTAGAAGAAACTGAAATTAGAAGCAGGGGAAGAAGGGAATAAGAAAACAGAGGTTTGATAAAAGCTTAGTGGAAAAGAAAGGGACTTGCTTACATACTTACTTACATCCAAAGAACCAATCTTTTTCTCTTCTTTGTTGTTGGGGAGGATTTTTTTTGGGAAGAAAATGGGATTTGGTGAGATGGGTTTGTCTTGGGAAGAAACTGGGTGTTTAGGGTGCTGGTGGAGGGGGAGAAGTCATTCTCAAGGATTGTTTTTCAGTTCCCCTCTCCACCTTAGTTTTGTGTATCTTCTGCTAACAACTTTCAGCTGCTGCCTTCTCTTCTTCATATCTCTCTCTCTAGATACAAAGGAAGGAAGAAGATGGACAGCGAAACAGGGGAGAGAGAGAGAGAGAGAGAGAGAGAGAGAGAGAGAGACAAAGGAGGTGTTTGAGACTTGAGTGATTTCAAAGTTAATATTTCTTTTTATTCTTTTCTGGGGGGCGTGGTCTGGTCTCATTCCCTAACGAGAAGGAAAGGCTTGGGTGAAGAATGGTGGGGTATGATTATGGAGTTCTGTTTACTGGCAGACCATAAGTTGCTATCCTCCTAGATCAGGTTCAGAGCTGGCTTCAGACAGAACCAAGCAAAATGGCTATTTGGATTATACTTATGGTAATGGGTATACTTCGTGATTATAGGTTTCATTTTCACCATTCAAAAAGTCATTTGAGTTCGGTTTAGCCGTTTAGGTCAAATATTGAGAACCATAGTTGGTAACAACAAGAAGTCCAGAAGAATTGAAACCCTATTAAATCTAGAAAAGGACATGCTTAATGGGGATCAATGCCTCATATGAATAGAACTTTTGTTCTAATCTAGGGTCAAAGGTTTGAGTTGGGAGCCACCATTCCCTGACCATTGGCAAAATGACAATCTGGAAGGGTTCAGAACTCGAAAGATGTGGGGTCCCATGGTCATGGCCATGAATGATGAGTATGTTGGCTTGGGTGATCAGATCAGACAGTTGCAGCAGCTGGCCTAGTTACAGGTCGCCATGTGAGTGGGGGTTGGAGAAATTTCAGTTAAGGGCAAATACTGAAGTCCAGAGCTTCCATGGCTAACTTAGTTGAGCGAACAGAGACAGAGAAACTAGAGAGTGTGGAATTTTGGGAAATTTGGTACATACTAATCCAGTTGTAATTTAGAGTTGCTATTTATGTTGTGCAAACCAAAGAAGCTTCCTTTTTGTTGTGGTTGTTGTTTTTGGTACAGATTAGTAACATCCCAAGTTGGCACTAGACAAATCCAAGCTAATGAGTAATGATGAGTATACCAAAGCACTATAGTACATTAGTACTCATGGATGACTAATAGGTTAGCTCCAATAACTGATTCCTTTTCAATTACTCATTTTGATTGTAAGAGTGTTATATCGTAAGTTTAGGGGTTCCTTACTCGGGAAAAAAACTAATGCAGGTGAATGATGATTTAAAGTTGTATCTACATGTAAATGATGATGGGTTAACCTGGGTAGGAATGCAAATGGAGAAATATTCTGAACAAGAAAGTACGAGATACAATCAGAGACAATAAGTCATGAGCGGAATGGTTTCCTTTAGTTTGAAAGCCCTACGATAATCCTGTGCATTGCTATATATATAACACTATGTTGGTTATCCTTGATATTGTTCAGACAATAAATAAACTATACATCGTAAAAACAAAATCATCCTAATGTGTTTTGCGCACAAAAGCAATTGAAACCAAACACTATTGAATCTTCCAATTCAAAAACTACTCATATAATTCCCAAGGACTTATGACGAAGTACAACAGTCAAAGCGAATTACTACGAAACCACAAGACGAGTATGATGGAGCAGAGCTAGGAAGGCGCTTGTGGCACTCTGCAATTAGGCTCCGCCGCTCCGCTTAGTGAAAGATGTTGCATAAGAATGTGCGGGAAAAGATAGATCACAAATGAGAGATTTGTTTGGTTAGAAATTGGTATTCAATTCGAATTATACTTCTCTTTAATGTGGATGAGTTGGTCGTATAGAGTTTTATTTGTTAACGTCATGAACTTCTAATTAACTGTATAAACTTGTATCCATCTCAAAGTACGATGTATACTTCTATTTCTTGGGTAGTCCTAACAAAAAGATTGAAGTAAAAACAAGTAGACATTGTAACACATAAGAGGGCACACCTAATTTGTATCAAGTGAACAATATTGCAACCTAGTTGTATTCGGGAAAACATATACATCGTTGTCTACTTTATAATACTGTGGTTGGATTTCTTTCTGATTTTCCTCTGTACATGTAGCTAGACTGTATAACAAGCACATGAAAATGCCATGCCAACTCAAATAACGGTTACAATGTTACAAGTTTCACCTAACCTAACCAACATGTGAAAGAAACCTCAATGTTTGTGGGGTTGGTTGTCAACCTTCCATGCACTTCCATTTGACCTCAAAACTGATTAATTAAGTACCTAAGACCTTCATTACATATAAATATGTCTTGGTGACATGCAATTAATAGAACTCAATAGGAGGAAACCATGTGAAGTTTCTTAATCAAACACCAACTACACAGAACTCTTTGGATGGATGAATTAACAATTAAGTCTCTTGGTGTTCATTTAATCATGATGATTGGCAAAATTAACAGCCTAATCACAACCCTTCCCTGCCTACTACTAAGATTATGTGTAACTTTATGTTTGAGAAAAAGTAAAGGCTAAGGCAAATATGCAATAACCTCAATTTGGAAGTCATCTTTCTGTCTCTACTCTCTACCCTGTATTTTCTCCCCATTTTTAGTTTTAATGTATGTGCTCCTTCCTACATTGCTGGTTTTCTAAGGCAAGGCTTGGTGGGCATACACTTCTCACTACCAGAACCCCAGAAGACAATCCAACAAACAGAGGACATAATGGCAAGTGTACTTTCCATAGTACAAACTATTAAATACGTTTTCCAGGAGAACAAAGGATTAAATACCATGAATTGTTAAACATAAAATGGTTTCATTGGTGAGACTAACGATTCAGAGTATTAACAGAGGTATAATGACTAAGCAGCTAAAAAGTAATTATAATATTATGATAAACAAATCATGGGTTAACCAAAGGAGAATGATTTAATCGACAAAACAGCCCAGTACAATACGACACATCACAAATGATATTATATACGTGTATCTAGCTCCATATAAGGAACAACTTAGTGATTTCACCATTTTTATCTATAATTTGTTTGGGAGTATTTGTGTTAGAACTAGAACCCTTCTGCTATATTCTAAAGTATTGGTGCTTCGATATAAAAATTGAACTTGTAGCACTGCATTAAAGGTATAAGCTCAACTTGTATCATAAATGTACAAATTCAGTTTGTATAATAAAAAGAATTGTACAAGAAATATATAGATACAAACTAAATTTATACCATAAGTAACGTTAAAGGTAAAAATTCGGTCTGTACCATGAATGATTTTTTTTTAAAATAAAATCATCAATACGATAAAACATTGTAAAATTCCTCAAAGAACTCAGATTAAATTACAAAGGAAACAAATCCATATAATAATCTGGTAATTAAAGAGTCATACCTCCATCACAAAAGATATAGGCGGAGTTCCTCACCTAGTCACCTTCCCTCCTCCAACTATAGAAAAACTGAAAAACCCCCAAGTAGTAAGGGAAAATAGGATGAATAGAGAGCCCAACAATAAATAGTTTTCTCTTGTGAGGAGACCGAAATAAAGAATTGGTGATGATTTAGGTTATAGATTATAACATGCAAAAATGGTACTCGAATAGGTCAATGGAAAGGCCAAGAACGAGATCGAATAATTGAAAGTGGTGGAGGCGAAGTGAATAACACAATGATATGACAGAAAGGTCAATGATATGCAATTACTTTGTTGAAGCAAGAAGATCCAAAACGACCATGAAACATGGGAGAAACCAATCAACAATTTACCTCTGCGGCTGTCGTTTCAGTAGGAGTGGCGATGGAGTTGGGCGATTGACTTCCACCACGAAACCACAGAGGGAAGAAGAATTATTGGGATCTAATTCAGCTATCTTTTTTTTTGAATTTTCCAGAGGCCAGAAACTGATTTTTCATGTGAAGACTTCAAAAGAGACTTGTGCTTGTTCATAATATACCTTGGTCCATTGGATTTGTACAAACAGAAGTTTTTGATCGTAAAAATAAAATTTGGTTTTGGTAGCTTAATAAACGAAATGACTTGTTTGGCTAGCTGCATTTCCTTTCTTGCTTTTGGTAACTAACTTAATAGATGTCACCAATTCCCCCATAAAAACAATGTTGTTTTTTAAATATTATTTTGGTCATCACATCACGACAGAAGAATTTTTCGGGACCATGTAAGTTCTTTGTTGTTTTATCTTGTGCTACTTTTACGTTTTATTGGATTGTTTACTGTTTACTATCGACAATTGATGTAACTTGTAAGTGATCTTACAAAATGATAAATGATATTATTATTATTATTATTATTATTATTATATAAGTGATAAAATATTGACCGTTGAAGTGACTAGTGAGTGTTTCGTTCCTATAGTTGTAGAAAACAATAAACGGACACATGCACTATTTTTATTTGTAAATGGTTCAAAAATAGTTTGTACACGTCAACAACGATTTGTAAACCCTATCCCAAATATTTGTAAACTTTTCTTATGAAGTATAAATTCTTTGTTACAGACTACAAATTCTTATTGTATGCAACTGAAAAATGAAGATAGTGATATATATATATATATATATATTATATATACCATAGTCGAGGGGAACGGGTTGGGCTCGGATGTAAGAGTAGTTGCACTTTGGTGTGAGCGGAAGCCTATTGGGCCGTGACTTGCTTAACAGGTCCAATCAGCATTCTTGCCCTGGCTCCTCTCCTCTGTCTTACTCTCTCAGATCTTTTCCCATTGAAACGACGCTGTACTGACCGCGTCCCAAACGCCCGAACCAGTCACCCCTAGTCACGGCTCGGAGAGCAGCCCGCTACTGGTTTTGTTCGTGTTCTCCGTTCGGCCAAGCTTCCCTTATCTGCCATTTCTCCGTTCTCGATCGCACGGACTTGCTTCTCTGCCGGCGCCGCCGTCGTCTACTTCTCCCTTCTCTCCCGCCTTTTCTCTCGGCGGCGCAAAAAGAAGAAGAGCCCGACTCCGTCTTGCTAATGCTCTTCCAGAATATCTCTGCCCGCTCTTCTCCTTCGCCAGTAATTTGGTACAGTTTCCAGTACTTATTCGCTCCAATTCATTCTTCATTCTAATTGTGCTCAATAAAATCATACTGGTGGAATTTCCGTAACTTTTTCGCTCCATTTGTGAAAGAAATGAATTGTAATGGGAGATTTAGTTAGTAAGAAGAATCATTGGATTTCCAATTTGAGACCTGGGAGATTGGAATTAATAAAAAAAGCTGCGATCTTTCGTCATGCAGTAGAGATTGAGCTTCGGTGAGAGCTTTGATGAGAGTTTGAATCAAGCAGTTGATGAAGAAGTGAAGAGTGTGGGAAGTGAAAGGGGGGCTTTTGACAATGTTGGTGGGTGGTGGTTCTCGCATTTCACACCACTTACGAGAGTGCAACCACCGGCACCAGTACTATAGGGATCCCCAGCAAGCACTTGCAGTCGGGTTGGGCTTTTGCAGCTCAAGGATTGTTCAGCTCTCTTCCCTGATATTCAAACCTGAATCCACCGCTGTAGTTGGAGGCCGCCAGTACCGTAGCACAGTGCAGCCAAGAATCTTGTCATTCTCAAGCCTCCGGTCGAAGTCACCTGGTGAAATTCCCATTTTATCTGATTGTTTCAGGTAACATTCCTTGCCCCTCTCATATCTTTTTGTTCTCTCAAGTCTTAGTTTCGTTGTTCGTGAAAGATGAGATGAGATTTAGGGAAAATGTAAATGAAAAGTTGATTAGGTTTGTTAATTTAAGGCTTTCTTAATGTACTTGATGCTGCATTTCTTTATTTTCTTTGTCTGGCACGGTCTGATGTGTTTATATGTATGTGACTCTTATTTGTATGTTCTATTTTTCGTGTGCATTGTTCCTCATGTTTGGTTAAGTAGCTGATGACTTTTCTTTGTGCAAAGCGATCGAGAAGATGATTGCAAGAACCTCTCTGAAGGATTGTCCTCAGTTGCAGGTTTGTTTTTGCCTACCACTTGCCTCTTGTTTCTACTCATAAATTTCGATCTACCTTTTGGTCACTTGCTAGCTTGAAAGAAACATACACTTGCTATTAGCTCAGTAGTTGAACACTAATATTTCAACATTGCATTGAGCGGCCACTTGTTGCACAGTGTACTATCTAAATTTTCTGCAATGGTAGCTTAAATAAGTTAAGGCTTTGTTCTCTCTATGCAATAACCACATGTTGAGATTTAGGGTTATCATTGTTCCTGACTCTGCTAGAATGATACTCCTGGTATACTAGAATCGTCCAGCTTTCTGGCAATTCCACGTCTAATCTGAAATTTAGATAGTTTTCAGCCTTTCCTTCACTATTGCAGGAGGAATAGTAGCACTTGGAAAGTTTGAAGCTCTTCACATTGGTCACAGAGAACTTGCAATTCAAGCATCGAAGGTTGGAGTTCCATATCTACTATCCTTTGTCGGGATGGCTGAAGTACTTGGTTGGGAGCCTAGGTATTCTTCATTTTAATGCATAAAACATCAAGTGTTCTTCGTTTCCCAACAGAGCTTCTCTTTGTCAATTTACTTCGCAGCTGTCACACTGTAGCACTAAAGTTTACAGATCCAGTGAATCTATGCTCTATACTTGGATATGTGGAGTCTCAGCTCATATTCGTACTTTATTTTACAGGCCACCAATAGTTGCAAAGAGTGATCGGCATAGAGTCCTTTCGTCCTGGGCTCCACACTGTGGAAATGTTGTTCCAGCAGAGTTCCAAATGGAGTTCTCGAACGTCCGGCATCTCACTCCCCGGCAGTTTGTTGAGAAGTTATGCAAGGAGCTCGAGGTGTCCGGAGTAGTAGCAGGTAAAGAGCGAATCATCTCTCTGTTACTTGCTCCTAATATTTCCCATCTCATTCCTTACATCTTCGGTAGTGCCTTAACAACAGAAACCTATTCCAGGGGAGAACTATCGTTTCGGATACAAAGCTGCTGGTGACACATCTGAACTTCTTCAGCTGTGCAATGAACATGGAATCCAGGCTTACATCATAAATTCAGTCATGGACAAGCATCGACGAGATCCCTTGAAACTTGATATAAATGACTCGAAAGATAAAGGTCAAGTCTCTTCCACTCGAGTTCGCCATGCTTTAGCTGCTGGTGACATGGATTACGTGACTGAGCTTTTAGGCCGCCGACATCGGCTAATGGTAACTGTTGAAGAACAGAATTTGTGTGGAATTGATTCCAGCGGATACAAGGTCTCTGTCCCAAAATCTAGCCTGTTGAACCTCCCGCCCAAAGATGGGACTTACGAGAAGTGCTCTCTTTTTCTTGACGATGAACATGATGATCTAGGGACACCTTGTAGAGTAACTATTGACTCTACTACTGTCCATTTAGAGGTAGATTGCAGTAGTAGCCTTCGAGACGTTAAGCTTGTGGGCATTGAGTTTGGCGATTAAGAAAATTGGTTCAGGCTCAAATTTATTGGCTGTTATTTGACTTGAGATACAAGTAGATGTCTAATTTATTGTTGTTTTATGCGTTGAAGGGTTGAAAGCGTTGCAGCCTTGTAGGTCGCCCCAAGAACTAATTGGAGCAATACTCTTTGAGAAAGAATTTATAAGTATAGAGAACAAAATTGTAGTATACATTTTTTTTTTTTGGGTAGAATCGTAGATTACATTTCCGATGCACATTGCAACACATTTCAGATTACATTTCCTATATACCGAACTAAAAAGAAGCTAGTGCAAATTTCAACTATCCTACATAGTACGCAGCTCAAAAACATTTGGTTAAGCTCTGCCATAATGTTATACAAACTCGCAGGAAAACAACTCCATTGTTGAGTAAGCTCTAATTTCAGGAATCCACAAAGTGCAGCACATGAACAAAAAACCTGCATATGGGTCCTTCACTTCACAAACGGAACCCCAGAAGATGTCCGTTTAGCATAATCAAGATAATTCGACCCGAAAAACCGCCTCAAGTAGTACTCCTCATATGGTATCCTCTTCGAGAAGAAACGCCACACAACAGCAGCAAATCCAACTGTCGAGACAGGATTGCACAGCATGACCTGAGTACCCACTGCCCAGATCAAGAAAGCTGAATAACTAGGGTGACGAACAAGGCCGTACACTCCATGAGTAACCAGCTCGTGCTGCTCCTCATGACGGGTCCTGATGAGATGAGTAAACGCTTGTCCAGCGGTTATAATGGCGAGCTTCCTTATTATCTCCCCAATCAGAACCATGACAAGGCCTAAATTGCTGATCCCCCAATGTTCTTTCAGGTCGGGAAACATCCATATTTCAAATGCGTACTCCAATACTGAGAAAGCCATGGCGACTAGATAGCCTCTGCTGATGAGAAGTGAGCTCAGCGAAACCTTTGATCTCCCATGTATGGAAACTGCTAGAATGAATTCTGATGTGTGGAAGAAGAGAACGGCCAGAAACATCCGATACAGCTGCGTGCTCGCCGTCTGAGTGAAAAGGTCTGCCATTTTGCTGATAACGATTGAGAAAACCTATGTGGCTGATGAACTTAAGGTATTCCACCCAAGCTTTATACTGTTGCTTGAGGAGTTTGGGTCCAGACCAGGAACAAAAGAACAAGCACACACCATCAGAGTTCTCGAACGTCCGGTTTTGATCATCACCCAAAAGGGTTAAAGGCGCTTAACGTACAACATCTGCAGAAGAGAAGCGAAGGCACTTCAGATGAGCTAGCCCTAGAAATGAAACTCAAAAGTAGTAACAAATGAAAGCCATAAACTTTTCTAGTAATTCCCTGGCACAATCCAATTATACCATGCAAATATACTAATTGAGAAATTGGGTCACATCTAAATCTGCAACAAAGCGAAATCAGGAGAATTTGCATCGATTCTCTACAGGAACTGAGCTTATAAGGAACAAATAATCATTCTAATCAAAGATAGAAAGCAACAGGAAAAACCAATTTGCTTCCACCGCTCAGATTAGTCGCAATACCCAAGCGAGTTGCAAGCGCATTAAGACCTAAATTTCGTCGAAAAGAAACAGGTATAGCAACTCCACCATTGATGGAGCTGTAGACAGTACCTGTTTGAGAGCTTTCTCTGATTCCGCCGAAGGGGGGAACAGGAACGAATTGAGAAGACCCTCCGGTGGCGGTGGAGGAGGATGACAATGATCAACGGCAGTTTACCCTGACGGAGGAGGTCGATGTAATCGAAGAATACGATGAAAGGAAGAAGGTTGCAGGGAAGGAATTATTTTTTCTCCCTTTTTTGGAAGGAATTAGTTAAGCGGGTGAAGATCTGTCTTTCGGGGTTGATTAGGGCCTACGGGCTCCCCTCGCCCATTTCATTCTTAGCCCAATAGCAAATGAGCTGTTTTAGGTTTTCGGCCTCGAAGGTAATGGGCTTATGGCCGATCTTTTCCTATTGACACAACTTCAAACCACACCTAACTTTTATACATATCAATTAAAGAATTTTTGTGTGTGTGAATTAGAGAATTTTCAATTTATTATGATTTAATGTATGGCCGATATTTTAAAAATAAAAGTGTAAGGTGAATGAAAAATTTGTAACCAAGCATAACAAGTGACATAAATAAGCTAAAATTCAATACCTCATGAAAAGTGTGATGTAATCGAATTTGATAGTCCAACATTTGAATGCATCTGTTCTATTGTGTAATGTGGGTTGTTTTATATGCCTTATCTATAAAATGCTTGGTTATAATTGAGCTTGTATGCAAAAAAGCTTCCTATTCAAGTTGCCTTCAAATAATTTTGAGATTGTGTACAACTCTAGCCACATGAATAATGATACCTCCTTTAAGATGACTAAAAGACCATGATAAAAGAGCATTATTACTTGACTCATTGTTAATGCATAACCTGTAATAGCAGCAACAACAACAAAAAGATAATTTCATGCATCTTTCTATTGCCATTGGTCTATTGCAATTTGCAACTCTTAACTCCTCCAATTTGATTCCCCTTTCTCTATTTATCTCGACCTTTTGTCTTTCTGTTCCACCACCATTATCTTCTGTCCCTCTCAGTTTTTGGGGTATGAATCACCATTTAATCAAATGATTAAAACATCATAAATTCAGGACATATATAATATGCACATGACAAACCATATAATTTAATAAAAAGAAAAAAACAGAAGATGACAGCAAGGCACACTTCTGGTAGCACAAGGAAATACCAAACAAAATTCAATAAAAGTAGGCATAATAACGGGATTAATTAAATTAAATACAAGCGCACGGGAAAATTCAAAACAATTAAAAATCTCCAAATAATATTCCCTATTTGGGTGGCTGGAGGCTCTAGAAGCGGTATCTGTCGAGTGGATCCTTGAAGAGAAATGGTTCATGGTAAACTCTCCATGCATAATCCTCCATCTCAATTGATCTAAACTTCATTGATCCACCTGATCTTTTCTCATCGTCTTCTTCTTCCTTCTCTTCACGACAATAATATTCCAGCTGCTTATCAGAAACTAGTGGTGCGATTGTGCTTTCTAATGGAAGAGTCAGCAGCAATGTCATGGATATGTTCCTCTTTGATCCCAAATTACTTCTTTTCTTGTCATTTCCTAATTCTTCCAAACACGGCACTGCCCTCCCCCTCACTTTCTTTAACTTCCCATTGCTCCACACCTGCAAAATTGTAGATATTGCACCAACCATTACTATATGGAGACCAATCTTTTGCTATTCCGTTTGATTGGTGAACTGTGAAGATGCGTGCCAATGAGCTAGCTAGTGTGTGCAAAACCGAACGTAATCACGTTAAATTTTACATCTTACATATGTTACATTCATCTAATACGTACTTTCTCCTCTTGAGATCGGTTCCTTGGCTTTGTAAGGTGGCTTTACTGATGTATTGGTTTGGGAGGGTTTTGGGGTAGATTGTATAGTTTTTTCTCTCTTGACATTTCTTAGAAGAAAAAAAAAGTATAATGTGTACACCTATCCATTCATCGATACAATCAAATTCACATTTATTTGTTGACAAGGTAACACAAAACGTTAATCAAGGCTTAACTAGTTCTGAATTTTTAACAGGATTTTGTCAAACACGTTTCCCGCCAGACGTCCAACTTGGTGGGTGGTGGGTTTTGATTGATTATTTTGAGCAGCCTAATAAACAATGAAGGGACTGTTTGGATGGGTACATAATCCAGTGGCATTCGTCACTGTCATTACCCCCACAAAGACAAAAAGAAGAGGACTCTTTGTTTGAATCGAAAGTTGAATTTGGCTCCTTAATAAAGATAATACTAATTAATTTCTTAATCAGACCTTCCCCTTCTGGATTTCCGGGGGAGAAGTGGATCCCTAAATCCGGCCATAAAAGCTTACCTGCCAAACACGGTCCTACACTTACGCCAGCGACAGTAAATAGAATAACAGAAGGAAACAAAAAAAAAAAAGTGGCTGACCTGTCCAATGTCACCGACGGTAACCAAAACCGACTCCACCTCGGGCAAGACGGTGACCCAATCTGACCCGGAACCCGGCAGCAGATACTTCTTCTGCCTCCGTATTTGGTACTGCAACCCGACCACGTACGGGTAGAACCCGCCGCCCGAAGGCGTTTCCCCGCCGCTCGTTGTCTCGCTCTCGCTCAACACCATCACGGAGCATAATCGGGTCGGATCTTCCCCACCTTTAAACGGATTCTCGAACCCGACCCCACGCGCCAGCATTTCGACCACCTCCAACCCGACTTTCTCCAGCGCGTGAGTCAGCTCCCGCAAGGACGACAGCGACGTCAACTCGGTCGTCGCCGAGTCGTCCAGCCAAAACGACTCCCCGTTTCGGTCCTCTTCCTCGGGCTCGAATCCCAGAGGCCAGTTGAGAAAACCTGAAACCCTAGCAGAGAATTAGGGTGAACACAGAAGAAGAAGGGAGGCAACGTTGGGGAATTTGCCGAGAGGCTTCATTCCATTTTCAGAGAGCATTATATACATCAGTCTCTACAGCTGAGTTACCACTATCAAACAACGAAAGGTAAAGTAGAATACTGTTTACTAACGGTAACTAAACTATCCAACTACAAAATGCCAAGTGGCTATTTATCTATTATCTTCTGGTTCACTATGCGACGCCGTTCTCTTCTTGTAGAGTCCACTACTTAGATGAAAGCGACGTCGGATGGGCAGCCTCTTCTTCGTCTTCAACACAGGTGAAAGGAAGCCTGAGTTGACTCTGCATCTTCAAGCTCTGCATCTATGGCTGCCAACAGCATCACTCCTTCACAGGCCCCCTCAAGCTGGGAGGAACATATTGTGAACTCCTAGCTTGGTGAGCAAAGTATCAAAGCGATCAGAAGACAACCCCTTTGTGAAGAAATCTGCAAGTTGCTCTTCTGATTGGATGTGATGCAAGGATAGTAAACCAGACCTCAGTCTTTCACGAGTTACATGACAATCGACTTCTATATGTTTTGTACGCTCGTGAAAGACTGGGTTTTCGGCAATATGTAAAGCAGATTGATTGTCACAATAGATTCGAATTGGTGATGGATGCTCAACACCATAAAAACCCAGAAGTGACTTCAGCCACTGAACCTCACACGAGAGCTGAGCTAAAGCTCTATACTCCGCTTCAGACGAGGAACGGGAAACAGTAGATTGTTTCTTACTCTTCCAAGTGATCAATGAGTTCCCAAGAAAAGTACAGTAACCCGTCACTGAGCGTCTTGTGTCAGGGCAAGTTGCCCAGTCAGAGTCACAATAGCCTGTAAGATGAGTCGAATTGGAAGAAGGGAACCACAGACCTTGAGATGGATGAGCTTTTAAGTACCTGAGTATCCTGTGCAATGCTTGCAAATGAGAAGTGGTTGGGGCCCCCTGAAATTGACAGAGCTGCTGAACAGGGAAGCAGATGTCAGGTCTGGTGGTCGTGAGATATTGAAGCTGCCCTAAGAGATGTCGAAAATCAGACCCATCTGGAAGAGGAACACCATCAGAAGCTGATAAAGAAGTCTTCATGCTCATTGGAGTCTTGGCAGGCTTAGATTCAAGGAAGCCAGCATCTGATAGTAACTCCAAACAGAATTTGCGTTGGCAAAGAGAAATGCCATCAGCAGATCGGGCAATTTCAACCCCAAGGAAATACTTGAGAGTACCCAAGTCTTTGATTTTGAAGGACATATGTAGATGAGTCTTGGTCTGTGTAATGAGTTCTGTGTCATTTCCAGCAAGGATCAAATCATCAACATAGATGATCACAATGACACAGGAGGCCTGACGTTGTAATTTAAATACAGAATAATCATCATAAGATTGAATGAACCCAAAACTCTGTAAACACTGACTGAGTTTAAGGTACCATTGACGACTGGCCTGCTTGAGGCCATAAATCGATTTTCTGAGTTTACAGACCTTGCCTTGCATCCCTGCCTGTTCTTTGAGATTGGGAGGAAGCTCCATGTAAACTTCCTCATCCAGATCCCCATGTAAAAACGCGTTACTGACATCCATTTGCTGCAAATCCCAACCCTTAATGGCAGCAACAGCCAAGAGCAGCTTAACAGAATTCATTTTCGCCACTGGAGAGTAAGTATCCATAAAATCCACTCCATGTGTTTGTGTATAACCCTTGGCAACTAAACGTGCCCTGCATCTTTCAACAGAACCATTAGGCAAGTATTTGGTTTTATAAACCCATTTATTCCCAACAACAGGTTTGTTAACAGGACGATCAACCACATCCCAAGTCCTGTTGGCATCCAGTGCTGTCATTTCCTCAGTCATAGCATTGTCCCAGCAAGGAATCAGTTTTGCCTGTTTGTAACTCTGAGGTTCAGGAAGGACAGTAATGGACAAGGAGAAGTGCTTATGAGAAGGAGAAAGGTGGTCATAAGTGATGCAGTCACTAAGAGGATAAAGAAGTTTAGGGTCATGGGAAGAAGGTGTAGCAGAAAGGAGACTGACATGGTAATCAGATAGATAAGCAGGTTTATGTAAAGTCCTGGATGTTTTTCGAAGAGCAATAGGAAGAGTAGAAGGGGGAGAACTGGGCTGGCCAGAAGGAAGAAAATCAGGATCAACAGTATCAGCCACATTATGGTCAGAAGGCAAAGGAGGGGACTGATATGTGTTGTCAAAGAAGAGAGAATGGAAAAGAGAAGATGAGAGAGGATCAGGGGAGGTAGCAGGTAAAGAATCAGAGGGAGAAACAGGCAACTGAGCTTGCTGGAAAGGGAAGACATCCTCATAAAACACAACATCCCTACTGAGGAAAACCTGGAGTGTATCCAAATCAAACAGTTTGAAACCCTTCACATCAAATGGGTATCCCAGGAAAACTGCTCTTCTAGCCCTGGGATCAAACTTTCCTTTATGCTCATCCAGAACAGTGGCATAAGCCATACAACCAAATACCCTCAGATTGCTGTAGTCAGGTGGGACACCATAGAGACATTCAAAAGGAGATTTGTTCTCCAAAAGAGGTGTAGGAATCCTATTGATCAAATAGGCAGAATGAAGAACAAAATGACTCCAAAAGCTCTTAGGTAAACCAGATTGCAGTTTGAGGGATCTAGCAACATTCAAAAGATGTTGGTGTTTCCTTTCCACCCTACCATTCTGCTGAGCAGTTCTCACACAGCTCATTTGGTGAATAATTCCTTGAGATTGGTAGAATTCAGGCATATTGAATTCTTGGCCCTGATCAGATCTTATAACTTTAATAGATTTATCAAACTGATTCTTCACCATCAAGCAAAAAGAATGCAGCAAAGACCTAGCTTCTGATTTGAAGCCCATAAGAAACAACCAAGTGCATCGACTGTAATCATCCACTATGGTAAGGAAATATTTGTAACCATCATGAGAAACTACATCAACAGGTCCCCATATATCAACATGGATCAAATCAAACACAGACTTGCTACGAGAATGACTAAGAGGAAAAGGAAGCCTCTTTTGTTTGGACAACTGACATATCTCACAGTGAGAACTAGAAGGAACAAAAACGTCATTACAATGTTTCTGAATTGTCTGTAATCTAGGAAGAGATAAATGGCCAAGCCTAAGGTGCCACAAGGTAGAATCCTGACTGGTTTTCACTCCACAGATTTGAGGTAAGGTTGTGTTTGGACTCCCAGCATCACTCCCAAGCAAGTAGAGCCCTCTATCTACCCGGATTGAACCAATCTTCTGTTGTGATATTAGGTCCTGGATACAACAGAAGTTGGATTCAAAGGTGAGTGATACTGGAGTGTTTTTGGTTAACTGACTAACAGAGATAAGGTTGTAAGAAAAGGAAGGGACTAAGAGAACATTGGTAAGCAGAATTTCACAAGGAAGTTTAACCAAGCCAATGTGAGTGACTTTGGATTTTTGACCATTAGGTAAGTTGACAAACATATGGGGAACCTCTTGAGAGCGCAAGAACAAGTTCACATTGCAAATGATGTGATCACTGGCACCAGTGTCAAGAACCCAAACAGCTGACAGAGCAGCCTGAGAGGTAATGGAAGAGAAAGAGCTACCTGAAATTGGTGGATGAGAACCACTTGGACGAGTCAGAACAGAATTAGACTGAGGGAATTGAGCAGGAGGATGAGGGTGGTGTTGCTGAAGAAGGCTGCGCAGCTTGTGAATCTCATCAGCAGAGAACCAAAGAGGTTGACCCTCTTGACTGGTCCTGGGCTCAGAAACAGGACTGGATGGACTTTGAGAGCTCCCTCCAGATGAGACCACACCATCATTCCCAGAAGTATCAATGGAACCAGCAAAAGTGCGACCACCAGCCTCATTCTTCCTCTTATTCTTCAACTTAAAACAGTCCTCAATGACATGGTTCTCCTTCTTGCAATAACGGCAAAAAAGTTCCTGAGACTTCTTACCATCCTTGCCAGACTCCCTGCGTTGGCCAGATTGACCAGATAAAGCGGCAAGGGCAATGGATTCAGCAGTAGTCTTGGTTTTGCCAGTGGTCATTTGACGCTCAAGCTGAACAACAGCCCGATAGACTGTGTCCATATCAGGTAAGGGATCAAGCATAAGCATCTGGGTTTTGACCTGCTGATAGTTCTCGTTCAAACCCAGTAAGAAACGGATCACTCGCCCCCTATCCCGATACCTGATCACAGTTTCAGAACATTTGGAAGCACATTCACAGACAGGAATTGGTTCATAATGCTCTTGTTCATCCCACAAAAGCTTCAAATCAGTATGATATTGACGCACAGTTTTAGTGCCCTGTTTAGTGAGATCAACCTTCTCCTGCAGATTAGCAATCCGCACAGAGTCACCCTGACTAAACTTAGATCTCAAGTAACCCCAAGCATCAGCAGCAGATCTGATGGAACGCAGACTAGGAACGATGTCCTCAGAAACAGAATTGCGAATCCAACAGAGAATAGTACCGTTACAACGATCCCAAGTGCTACGAGAAGGATCAGTGTCATCAGGTACCTGAACTGTGCCGTCGATGAAACCCCATTTGTTCTTGGTGCGCAGAGCAACCTCCATGGATTCAGCCCAAAGAAGGTAATTGTCATCATTCAACTTGAAGCTGATGACAGGGAGAAACGAATTGTCACTGGCAGCCAAGTATAAGGGGTTGGAATAAGGATCTTCATAGCGAGACGCAGGGTTTGGGTTGGTGGTGGTGGAAGTACCAGAACCAGGAGAAGTGAATTCAGCCATGGAAAACCAAAAGAAGAAAGAAAGAAAACGAACAGAGGAAAAAACAGAATCGGCACTCCTAGATCGGAGGCTCTGATACCATGAGAAAACCTGAAACCCTAGCAGAGAATTAGGGTGAACACAGAAGAAGAAGGGAGGCAACGTTGGGGAATTTGCCGAGAGGCTTCATTCCATTTTCAGAGAGCATTATATACATCAGTCTCTACAGCTGAGTTACCACTATCAAACAACGAAAGGTAAAGTAGAATACTGTTTACTAACGGTAACTAAACTATCCAACTACAAAATGCCAAGTGGCTATTTATCTATTATCTTCTGGTTCACTATGCGACGCCGTTCTCTTCTTGTAGAGTCCACTACTTAGATGAAAGCGACGTCGGATGGGCAGCCTCTTCTTCGTCTTCAACACAGGTGAAAGGAAGCCTGAGTTGACTCTGCATCTTCAAGCTCTGCATCTATGGCTGCCAACAGCATCACTCCTTCACACCAGTTCCTCGGGAACTGCATTTCTTTTCTGTCGTCGGGGAGTTCGAACAACGCGAGCGATTCCGACTCGGCGGAATCGGCGAGTCGTGGGGCGATTCCGTGGCCGGCGAGTTGGAAGAACCCGTGTTCGGAGGCGGCGGAGAGTACTAGTTCGGTGGCGTTGGAGTCGGAGAGAGTGATGATTGGGGGAGGGATCGGTGGCGCGGCGGCGGGGGCGGCGGCGGAGGAGGGCGGCGAGGGGCGGAGGCGAGCGGGGAGGGAGAGGGATGGTGGGAGGCGGGTGAGGAGGCGGGAGAGGGTGTCGGCTGCCATGGAGGCGGAAGCGGTGAGGTGGTGGTGGTGATTGTGGCTGTGATTGGGTTGTGCTGAAGGGGTGGGCGGTGGGGCTGCGGTGGTGGCGGCGGCGGAGTAGGGGTTGGGGAGGTTGTGCTGGTCGTGAGCGGCGGAGGAGGAGGCGGCCATGTTTTTTGGTTTGGTGGGGAGTTGTTTTTTTCCAGGATTGGCGACAATACGCGCCAGGATTTGTAGGGGGGAATTCTTGTGGTGGAGTGGTACACGTGTGACTGCGCTCACACGTGCGGTTGTTCAATTGCATTCCTCTGTTTGATTGTTTTTTTTTATGGGCATTCCTATGTTTGATTGTTGTTTATTTGATAACTAGTTTTCATTGCCCGCGCTTTGCGCCGGAACTTGTGTCATATGTAGGAACACATTTGTGTTCATCATGTCAGGTTGATATTGGTGGTTTGTGCGAACTATGTGCCTAAATTGATTAGCGGGAAATGTTTTTTACAAAATATGTATATTTTGTAAAGTGACTTATATTGCAAGCTCACGTGTATACATTTCTAATTTATTGCTTGTAAAATCCCACAAATAATGTATTACCACCACAATTTGCTTGTTCTTAGACCTGAATGAACCCTTGAGATCAATCCTCCGTTTATAAGATATGAATGAACATGCAAGGATAGAGGAATATACTACCCATGTTCCAGAATTCAAAGTAGAGGTACATCAGATATAAAAACAACAGTTTAAAGAATATATAAAAAGAAAGTGACCTAATTCCTATTAACTTCTGGGATAAGGAACTCAAATCATAAAAATTGTACATGGCGTTACTCGGGTTGCTATGTCTAATCTAAACTTGAACCACTTCCATGCCTGGAAAAAAGTACAGCTTGCAATAAAATGCAGTAAAACAATCAAACAAACCCCTTTTGGAGAAATGAGAATAAGAGATGACAACATATTTACGAAAAAGATGATAGGCTACAATCAACCTCTTCTCCTATTCGTCTCGAAAACAACCAAATTGGAAACCAAAGATTCCCAGGTAAACTGATTTCTCGCTGAGAATTAATCACTACCCCTGCCTACTCACTTCTACAATGAAATCAGAGCTGGAGTCTCTTACCAAAAGAGATATCAACCAGATGAAAGTGAGAGAGGAAGAGCCAATGAATGTAGAGAGAACAAACTCAACATAATCAATATTACCAAAAACCTTAAACGAAATATGCAGATGTGAAGTTTTCCAAAATCTCAATGTGTCTCAAATCCATTGACCAAGCCAACAGCAGATCGGGAATACCAGCTAGGCAATCCCTTGCACTTGCTATTTTTTTGCTTAACTTCAACTTCCGCATCAATGAAAGTAACCTTGACTGCTTCATCCACTCCTAAAAGGTTATAAGACAAAACATAGAAGCAAGGAAGAGATACAACAAACCCATCAAAGAGAACAAATAGAACAATACCATTGTAAAACCTACGGATCTCCCTTTACTCCGAATATGCTCTCTGCACTCCTCCAATCTAAATGCCATTTCAGAGTACCTCTCCAAGCGGTGGATAGAAGAGAAGGGGACAAATTAGAGAACTGAGATCCAGTGTTTAACTTTTTTATAAATGTGGCGAATACAATTACTGGAATCAAACGAAATCAGCAGCATCCAAAGAACAACTTACCAAAGGGAGTCTCGCAGCAGAATGATGTATAAAATCTTATGCAGAGCTCGGTTCCCTTTCTTCCTTTGGGAGGCTAATGAGAGCAACCACCACAATTAAACTTGCCAGAAACAACTTTCAAGCACGGAGAGACTATTGGGGGATCGAGAGAGGAAGGCAAACATCCAAATAAGACTGGACGCGAACTGAGCGGATCTCCAATAAGCGGTGTGATGAAACTGAGGAGAAGTAGACATCAGAGAGGAGAATCAAGAATCAGTGGCAGATGCAGAAATTATTTAAAAAGCGGAAACCGATTGAAGTTTTATAGAAAGATATCGCCTCACGTTCACTTACCCTCCTCGATCGATCCGAAATTCAAGCAGAATGTCAACTCCAAAACACAGGATCACCCTAAATAACATCAAACACAAACAGAGACATCAAAAAAGAGAAATCTGGATGGTTCACAGTAGTTGAGAGAGTGGAAGAAATAGATGAGGAAAGAGAATACCTTCGTCGATATCTCTGGTCACTGTCTCTGGCCTAGAAGCGAATCTGCAAGCGAAAGGGGGAAGAGGAGGGGATCACAATCCACAAAGGGTAGAAAATGATGGAACCAAAAAATGAGATTAGGAGCTCACCGGAATCGATAGATCTTCCAGAATAGCGAATGGAGTAGAGATATAGACCGTAGGACTCCGAGGCGCATCGCTTCGGCGTTCTCCATCACTCCCGACCTGATTCTTGTGGCCACCACCATCGCTTTGTAGTGAAACTTTTGGAAGCCACGCAAATGAGCAGTTCCCAGCTCGTTGTCGTCCAAGCATCCTCTTCGTTTGGTAATTTGAAACTGGGACCGAGAAAATGAGGTATCAAGAAAGGAAAGAATGAGAGTATATCGGATTGGATGGGAAGAGAGACAGTAGATTGTAAGAGACGAAAGATGGAGGAAAGAGACTACCAAAAGGCAAGTGGTGAGTGAAAAGGAATTCCCATTATCTCTAGTTCTACCTCATATATCCCTACCGAGAGAGTGCATCTCTGGTGAGTGTTGAGAAGTGACAGAAACCAATGAGAGTAAAAAGCAAGCTTAGAGAACTGAGCCGATTATGCAAAATGAGTGGGCGAATGCCATAGAGGTACGTGGCCTCTACCCCGCCAAGTATGCCAAAAACATATCACATCTCTGCTTCGCTGTATCTCTGACTCTCTCAAGTACCATCGAGAACACCAAAATGAAAAAAAAAAAAAAAAACACATCTCTGCTTCTCTCTATCTCTGACTCCCTCTCAAGTACCATGGTGAACACAAAAACAAAACGCGTTGATCAACGCGTCCTCACCAGGGCCACACAAATGCATCTAGACCCAACTAAACAGCTAACCAGAGGTCGCATCATGGTTTAAAGAGAACCAGAGCTTCGGAAATCAACCAGAGACCACCATACACCTGCCCACACCCGAGCCCCTTCCGAGTCGAAACAGTAGTTATGAGTCTGTATGTACAGTGAAAGGTCTCTTGGTGCACAGTAAATGGCTATGCTGGGGGATTTCTTCTTTCAATAAGAGAACAAAAACAACAACACACAAACACATAGTAATCAGTCTCTAAAACAAAATCTTCACCTTTTTTTATATCATTCTCCCAGCAACAGTAGAATTATGCATCACAGTTTGAGAGTTGAGGTTTCACCAAGTAATAACATGAGCATGAAATCAAACAAAAAGTACATGTCTTCAGTTTGGTCATTAACTAATTGCTTGTAACAACATTGCTCAATCTCCAATGAAGAAGTTTTAATCCACAGTTGAACGTCGCTTGTTCAGAATTACCAAATTTCCTATCATCCATTGGGTAGCCATCGTTTCTCTTGGTAGATAACTGAAACAAAAATGGGGAGAATTATATGATGAGTTGGCCTACTATTATTGCTCAAAACTTAAAAAGTCGGAGCATTTTTACAGCCTTTGAGATTTGTGTTGCAAACAAATCGAGTGAAAGCAATAAACGATCCAAAATGATGGTAACCTAGAAAACCTCAAACCTCAAGACTACCTAAAAGGAGCAAACAGGGGAAATAAGCTGCTCACCCACAGTATCATAAATATCCCACTGAAGCTCTTGGAGTCACCTAATAAGTAACCAATTTTATTTCAACCTGAACCTTAAAATTACTCACACATCCACAAATAGTCATAAGAATACACCCTAACTGCTACCAAAAATTGACTAAAATGAAACTTAAGACCCTGTCTCTGTCTATAAGCGTAAGGCTACCTTCTCTAAACCCTCCAATCAAGAATATATCCATTAAAGGACACAACATGAGCAGTCTTCAAAAATAGAAATTAAAATTACAGATGGCAGGGGGAAAATCCCAAAAGTTAAAAATGCAATGCAATACTTACTAAGCATCAGCATGCATCGAGATATTCGAAGTGTTAGCTTAAGGAACAAATCAAAATAAGAACAATCGATCAAAATATATAGAAACTGCTTTTCAAGCACAGCAACCATCCTACACAATCAAAGAGAGATAAAAATTTGATTCCAATCAAAAACTTTCCTGAGGCCACTTGAAACAAATATACTGAGCACGTAAAAAATGGACTGGCAATCAGAATGGCCATCAATCGCTAGCCGGACTTGAGTCCCCTGCACACAACGATCGGTTCGGAGCACTCAAACAAAATCGGGCGTGATAGAAAAAAGTCACCAAGAAAGCAAGAGATCGGTACCACTTTGCTTTTTCTTTTGACTCTCGTTTTCTGCTTCTTGTATTTTTCATGTCTCATTTTTTGTGATTCGGTTCAGCTCTTCTGAACCTTTGTAACTTTCCTCTTTTCTTCTTAATGCAATCACCATTATCAAAAAAAAAAGCAAGAGATCGGTACCTCAATCGATTGATCCGACCCGAGACTCTGCCCGCAACAAATTTGGAATATAGAAAAAGAACACTGATTCATAATATACTACTAAATGGATCTTTGAGTTTAAAAAAATTGCCGAGTAGCTCTGGAATGGAATGGAGAGAATTCATAGTGAAATAGTATTAACTGTTTGAGAACGACTTACTAAAAGGGGGCCTTATGATGGAAGAGAATCGGAGTTACAGCTGAGTTTCCCAACAAAAATAATGAAGGCCTTGAGCTTCCATGCATCCCTCTTCTTTCCAGAGGCTCTGTATGGCTTTTTTGTATTGAATTTGCGGTTCTCATCACCGCTAAATTACAGTTCCCTCCGCCCATCAATAAATCATGAGTTGCTTCCCCATTTTTCACTGGGGGAATCCTCCTTCACTGCATCCAGGGTCTAAATCTATACCAAGCTCCACACCGCTTGCTCCTTAAACCACCCAAACATCAAATGAGGAAAAGAGTCAACAAACTCATTAAAGACCAAACAACCCCATTTGAGAGAGTGAGAAAGAGACGACAAATTCATCAAGAGGCCAATCACCTAAAATAAGAGAATGACCCAAGTAACGTGCAAATCCAATGAAAGCG